GTATTGGATTCTTCGGCAGTGGTTACAATACCTGAATGCACTGAGTGTCATCTTTTGATGTGCTTGGTCTACCTGGTGGAATGTCCTTTCAAGACACTATTGGTTTCTTGAACCTGTTGATACCACTTACAAATACATTTATAAGTTGGAGCATCTTTCAGATACACACCCACCAAAAGTTTCTCTGAATGGTCACTACAGACTCTGAGTCTATGTACTACAACACTGTGCCTTTTCCTGCAGCAATGCAGTGACTGAATGACTCCTGCTTTCTTGCAGTCCCAACTTGTCATGGTGCAGTGCTGTCATCTCTAGAATTCATGTCACTAAAACTTGGACAGATTTTGTGCTAAGTTTTTTTTAAATGTACCAACTCTATGATTAAGGGGTGAATAAATATTTATAACCAAAACTTTGGAGTTCTTTTCTAGCTACCCTGCTTAACCTCGAAGGTTCCTACCGTAGAATTAGGATTTTATTTGTATGTGTATTTTTGTATTTATTTTTGGTTTAAGTATGCTTCATTTGCGGCAAGTACATGGCTGTATGTAGTTTTACATTGTAGTCTTGAATATTGTTGTCATGTGTATAATAGCAATTGCTGAAGCATTGTTACACAAGTGCCCATTTTCAGCCGATTCAGGTCTGAGTGAAGAAGAGGAGGAGGAAGAGGAAGAGGAAGAAGAAGGTGAAACAAGTCAGGATGCAAGAGATTCTGATGAAGAATTTCAGCTGGCTCCCTGGGAGAAAGGACTTGGAAACCCTTTGCCTGAACAGAGCTCTATCCGGTAAATAAGACCCACTTCACACTGTAATATAAAATCCTTTTCTAGAACATTTAAGTGCTGTAGTAAGTTACCACATGGCTAAATCGGGGGATACTTTATTTTATATATCTGAAACACCAACTCTTGTGTTGTTATGCAAAATAATAGTCTTCAAATGGGAGAAAAATGATCAGTTATATGTTCAGTCAGACTGGTCTAAACAGAAAAGTTTATTTTGGAATATCCTCAGTCATGACTGCATCGTGTGTTTGATTGAAGGCCATTACATTTTGCTTCATTTCCATTTCCTATTTCCATAGCCTCGATTCATATCTTGTAACAAAGATGGGGTTTTGCTTATTTGCACTGTGTGCATAGACATACTTTTGATTTACAATTGGTGCATGCAGCTCATGTGCAAGTTATGATGCTGGCTTGCAGCCAGTGGGCTCAAGAACAAGCAGCAGTTATCAGTTGTGATGAATATATTTAGGTGGACACATATACATACCTTCAGGAGGAATACTAATGTTTGTTTTGTTCCCAGAACACGACTGAGGAATCGGAATTCTCGTCATGGGTCTGATGATAGCCAGAATGATCCAAAAGATAAAGAAGCAGATATTGGTAAGGAGAAAGAATTGTGGTGAGATTTAAATAAAGCTAATAACAAAGACAGAAGTAAGACTTCAGACAAAACAGTTAAAAGAGTTTGTGTGCTTAGATTTCTGTGGGCAGTGTCTGACGTGTAACTTAGTCTTTAAGGGCTTAGCCACCTTACATGTTGAAACATCAACTTTTCAGTGCACATTGCAGTTGCCATCTTCAGGGTGAATATAAGATAGAATGAGGAAAATGACATACAACTTTACAGTGGGAAGAGGGTGGGGGTGTGTTATGTGGTGGTATCCAGTGAGAAGGGATCATGTGGTTAAGAAGGAAAGTTGAAGGACAAGAGATGCAGTCAAGACTATACACTTTTGATCTTTACTGTTGAAGTAGTGGGCTTCCTTGACTATAGTGATGTCTTTCCTGATCATCCAGGGATAGTAAGTTTAGATGTTAGCTATGGCTTCAGCTTTCATCCAAGTTGATGCTGTGTTTGGCCGCAGTAGAATGTCTGACTGCTGCTGGTCATTGAATCTGTAGTCTGATGTTTATGATGGTCCTCAGGTTCTGTTGAAGATGTAATGACCTGTCTGACCAGTGTATACTTTGCCACAGGAGCAGAGGGTCTTCTATATGCAGAGTTTTGTGCCTTATTGTTTGTCTCTGATTAGTCTAAGATAGATAACTGTTTTGTTAAATTTATGAATGGTGTGCACCTCATTTTTACTGAGTAGCCTGGTAAGACAGTCAGTTGTTGTCTGGGCATAAGAGATACATGTCTCATGGTCCCACTTATCCAATTTTACCAGACACTGACATGTCCTGAGGTCACTGAGCTCCTCAGGACATTCACTGCTTTTTATGGAGTTTGAAGGACATTACCATGTTCACAAGAGCCATTCACTGATCCCTTTCCTGAGTCATGTGAATCCAATCCTCAACTTCCCCTCCTATAATTGAAAGACCCATTTTAATATTATAGTCACGTCTGTAGGTCATCCATGTGGCCATTCTGATGCCCCCAAAGAAAAAAAAA